ATCTCGAGCTTTTTGGATCCGTGGTGAGATTTCATCGCCAATCAGTCCGTTGGTGCTAATACAACTTCCCAAATAGGTGAAGTGGTCAACATGTTCTATCACTTCACTTCCTATCACTAAGCTAGGAGTTGACGTGGTCCAGTCCTGTAGCAGCATCTTACATTTTACAGGGGCGAATCGCATGCCAAACATACGGAGATTGCTGCTCAAGGTGTTCAGAAGACTCTGCTGGATTTTGTCAGCATCCTCCCCTAACAGGACTATGTCATCTGCATATTCTAAGTCCATAAGACTATTCCCTGGTAACAAGTCGATTCCTAAGTCGTTAACTTCAGTTAAGGATACTTCCATCAGCATATCTATGATGAAGCCAAAGACTGGACCACATGACACTAGTGTTCAATATTATATTATTATTGACTCCTTTAGTTCCTAGAAATACATAAGGCTTAAGACGCACGTCTCCATCCATTGCGTTCGGTTCTCTGCTAACGTTTTCATCACCTGGCTCCACGTCTACCCACATGATTTCATCTCTTCTTCACATGACCTCCTCCACTCCATTTCACCCTCGAACTGACGACCAACTAACTCGCTGCTTCCTATTTGGATTCCACTTGACCGATGGCCTGCCGTGTGTGATGTCACTCACTTGATGGTGGTTTGTTTTCTCAGAGTATGGCCTCCAATCCACCTACCTCCATATCTTCCTGCATATTTGTTGCACAATTGGTTTTTGCTGGGGTTGGTTGGTTCGTTGATTGCCAGAGATCCCTCCCTGTTGTTGCTGATCTTTCCTGACCATCCATCTGATGTTGAGTAGTAGTATTGAGCGAAGACAATTAGCTGTTCGAAGTGGCCTTCATGATGGGGTGTGGCGCCAAGTCTCTGATCCGTAAAGTGAGTAGTACTGACTTCATATTGGAGTTGGAAATCCGGATCTTATTTTCATTTTTCATGCTGAGTGTTGTTGATCTCCATACAGACTTGGTGAGAGTAATGAAAGCTAGCCTTACTTTCCCGATCCTCGCTGTTTTGACATCCTCATCAGTTCCGTCCGCCTGTAGTTGAAACGATGCTTCCCAATTAGTTAGTTAGGTAAGTAGGTAGAGGAGGTTGCTTATTTCACATTTCTTCCATTAATCCCATTATGGATAAGATTTTATTTTGATAAATCATACACAATCTTATACTGATGACGTCACTGCTCCTAATCATATCAAGGTACTCATTCACACACCTTTTTTGTTTCATTTATATACATGCGTAAAAATTGATGATTAGACATTTGATTGAATAAAATCAATATAGGATAAAGTACATTCGAAAATAATAATATTAGTCTTATCAATCAAGCACAATCAAATGTTTTTATAGTTAAAATAAGTAACTTGTTAGAATGTCATAATGTACGTGAATTGAAATAGAATTTTAAGATTATTTATTATCCTCCTCTGATATGACTGACTGTATCGTATCTTTCATATCTCTGGTATTTACCTTGAGTCATTTCTGTTGCATGTGTTGTGTTGGTTGTGTAGACTCAATGAACAAGGAAGGATTCAGTAATCAATCTCTCTCTCTCCCTCGTTGACTTGGAATATGCAGACGATATGGTCCTTCTAGGCGAAGACGCTGACGAAATGCAGAGTCTTCTAAACACCTTGAGCCGCAATCTACGAATGTTTGGCATGCGATTCACTCCCGCCAAATGCAAGATGATGTTACAGGACTGGACTACATCGACGCCTAGTTTAAAAATAGGAAGTGAAGTGGTAGAGCACGTTGACCGCTTCACTTATTTGGGAAGTACCATCAGCCAGTGCCAACGGGCTGATCTCTGACGAAATCTCAGCACGAATACAAGGGGCTCGTTTCGCATTTGTTAGTTTACGCCGACTCTGGCGTAGACGAGATGTTCGACTATCGACCAAAGGGCGGGTGTACTGCTCATCAGTCCGCTCCGTCCTCCTTTATGGTTGTGAGACCTGGCCACTGAGAGTGGAAGACATGAAAAGACTAGCTGTCTTTGATCATAGGTGCCTGCTTTCTATTTCCCGTGTAAAGTGGCATAATAAGGTGAGCAACATGGAGGTTAGGCGTAGAGTTCTAGGTAAACAGGGGAAATCAATCGACGAAGTCGTGAAGTTACAAAGACTGAGATGGTTAGGACATGTGTTACGTATGCCAAGCCATCGCCTCCCTCGACGAGCAATGTTAGCGGATATAGGGTCAGGCTGGAAAAGAGCTAGTGGAGGTCAAACAAAATCTTGGCATCAGTCAATGAAATCCACAACAGTTGGTCTAAGCCATGTAGAAAGGTGTAGACTTCCAGGCTGGGGTCCTCGGGACGGTAAAAATCTATGGTTGGAAACAATTGGTGACATGGCTCAAAACCGTTCTCAGTGGCGCAGATGCATCCACTCCTTGTGACTTATGATCTTCAATGAAACTGTTTTGTATTTCTTTATTACTCCTTTGTCTCACACCTCTGCTCACTGTTTCTATTATGCTTTTCTTGTACTTTCTTCTCTTGCTTCGCGTGCTATACGGAATGTGGCGACTTGAACTTCCGTACATTTGTGCAAAGTTCTATGTCGAAAACAGACAGACAGACACCTACATAGATTACCTCTTATCTATAATGGAGTTATACTCTACCACAGTGCCCAAGTTTTATACTTATATCAATTCTCCCATTTATGCTGATTGTTTTCTCTTGTTGTAAGTGTCAGTGTTGGCCAGGAATCTTCATCACCTCCGTCTTCTTTATGTTCATGTGAAGTCCTATTTTTCAAGCTTCTTCTGCCAACTTGTTGCTTTTCACTTGCATATCTTCCATTTTGTGGGAAATTAGACATATATTATCATCCATATCCTCCGAGTTTTTTTTGTATGGGACCCAAGCCATGGTGTCTGACATCACCGCCTTTTATGTTTATATATATATATATATATATATATATTATATATATATATATATATATAACGTATTACTGGCTTAGAGAGGTAAAGGAGTCCGCTGACCGGGGTTCGAACCCTGGACCACATGTGTGATTGGCTATCATTTTATCGCTGTGCCACCGAAGCTCTCTCGCTATCTAAGTAATCTTAACATGAATCTATTTCAAGTAAGAAGTGTTTTTTGATTAAGTGAACGCCTGACCATCAAATCACAGTTATATTGTTATGATGCAATTTGAAATCAATCGAATACTCACTAATGACTGACTAGAGTTCTGGCACAAAGTCTTGATCACCGGGTTGCTCCACGGATTGGCAAAATTTGGAATTCACCGTCCAGTCATCGAGTTCCGTTCAAGTGACAGAAGAGTCATTGAACTTATCTCATAATTTAAAAGCCATGGGTTCGACCCCTAGAGGTGGAGTGATGGCTCCGTACTCCCTGAGGAGTCAGTCCCAAACTAGGACGAAACAGCTGTCCATTACACCTCTAACTGGTGTGATTACTCAGTTGTTTAGGGTCTTACATATCAATTGTTAAAATGATCATTGGTTTTTGTCTTTATTTCATTAGCTGGACAATTCATAGTCTTGTATCTAAATTTTCCTTTCAGTGTAGGTTTTGAACAACACGTTCAGATAATGGTAATTTATTTCGGCTTATAATTCAGACTATTTATATATTATTTAAGTAGTATGGTATATTATGTGAAAAAGTGGATTGTGCACATTAGTAGCGAAATTACATCGTTTGATTTCCTCTGATCAAGTTTGTGAACTGTGCAAGTACGAATAAGTTTGCACAGTTAGACAAACTATGTTTCTTTTAAGACTCTTTACCATCTTTTGATAATTTGATGTCACTGGTTGAACTCCGCTTAGAGAGCCAAATCAGTTTGAACCACCTGATTTCTGGCTACTGATTGATGTGCGTGGAATACAAAACTACCCATTTCGATCATTCAGTAGTATGTGGTTTTATGCAGTCATACCTGCTTCCTTGATTAGTATTCATGGTATCCGAAGACCACGAGTTGCGATGACCTGAATAATTTTGGTTTCTAAAAAAAGCTGTTGTGAAATTTCACACTGTGACGTATATAAATAAACGTTCATCGGCATAAAAACATCAAATGACAGGGAGATAGATTAGACGTCAGAGAAAGCAAATGATACGACTTTGTAGAGATACCTGGGAGACAACGTGAAGGGAACACAAAGAAACACAATATGAAAGGAGGGTATAAGCAGTACAACACGGGGGATCTGTGCAAATTTCGCGTTGAAGATAAGGTGTACACAATTTTTCTATTATAGATATACCAAATACCAAAAGAATACTTTTATAACGAGTCTAACCGCGGATTGATATCAGTTAGAGAAGCATTGAAAACCAGCATTGGACTACTAGACAGCCAGCTGTTTCATCCTAGTTTGGGAATCACCCACTGGTGGTCCCGCTAAGTCACAAATTGGTAAAAGTTAGAATTCATGGGCTAGCCATTGAGCTATTGAATTGGGTCCCAGTGGCTGAATAGTGTACGAGTTAGCTTGCCTTGTAACTCGAAGTTCCTGGGTTCAAACCTTCTCACGGGGTGAGTACTGCCGATGATTCCCAAACTAGGCTGATGTAACAGCTGTCCAATACTCCCTGTATCTGGTTTTCAATGCTTCTCTAACTGATATCAGTCATCCGTGATCAACTCGTAAAAACAAAATTAACCAAGTTAGATATCAGGAAGAGAAGAAATAAATAATTAGGGCAACTTTGTTGAGTAGCAGTCTTACGTGTAATAAACTACGAAAACAATCAATGAGAATCGTCAAGATGCCTTCGACTTAGGTTTCGTGCTTGGTGGCACTCATCAATCATCAGCAAGGTGTATCGTGTATCTTGAAAAAACTCCTGTTCCTTCTGAAGTTCAACCACGTGTCACCTAGTGCTCTAGTTACAGAGGTTATCATTGTAAGACTTTACTTGGATTGTATTCAATCACTGTTTAATCTCTTCTTTTTTTATTTCTTTCCCCGCATAGATGATAATTCACCGATATCTACAAATGAATATGAAATGTTACTTATGCCGGCATCTTCATCGTCGACTTCATTATCTCTGTCGTCATCATCATCATCGTCAAATGGTTATAATGGTTGTTACAGTCATCCGAATTCAGTATGCTCAACACCTACAGAAGTCGACCTGTTTAATTCGTCTATTCCAACATCATGTTCTACAAATTATACCAATATGAATAGTAATAATAATAATAGTAATGGTAGTAATAACAGTAATTTGGCGTCAACGATGGAATGTGGTTCCACATCATCTACATCGTCTTCCTCATCAACTAGTAGTGGTTCATGTCGTTCATTTCAATCATCATCAACGCAACAACTTTACAATTGTGGTAATTCACTGAAGACAGTGAAACGGTCTGGTGACGGCGGTGATAAGTTATTGTATAGATCTACAGATCTACCGACTACTACAATTAGTCCTATGAATAAAACTCCTAGTCCTGTTGTCACTGTCGCCGCTGCTTCTTCTTCGCCTCCACTGATTGATGAAGCAGGGAAACAACGCATTGAACAGTCATCTGACGAGAATAATCATACTCGTAGAAGTCAACAACCGTATGAAGAATGTTGTGGTGTATTCGCCTCGAAAAGTCATTGTTACAATAAACCGCCGGTTTGGCAGATGAGATTTAATCGAAAACAGCAGCAACACAACCAACAACAACCACAACAACATTCTAACAATTCTCCGTCAGTATCATTACTAACACGATTTCGTCATCATCATCATCCATCAAGTGTGAATCATCAAACGATGAAACGTCGTTTCACTTCACCTTTGAAAAAAGTCACTCTTTCAAGTACCAATCAACAGAGTAATTCACAAATGTTTTTTATGAATGCTGATTATTCAACACCTCCTGTAGACCGTTGTAATTATTCGTCGACATCTAGTCCTATTCCACTACAAATGACTAATAACCACCACCACCAACAACAACAACAGCGCCAAGGAGGAGGCGGTGAAAATATTCCCTTCCCTAGTCATCAGCATGATTTATCGTCTACGTATACATTTCAATTATCTCCGTCACTATCAGAGTGTCATTATAATGAAAAAGCTTTCTATTATAACAATAATACTACTACTAATAATAACAATAATATGAGTAGTAAATAGGAAAGATAACTTTCTGTCTAGTGATTGGTTAAAAAATGAGAAACATGATTTATCATGTGTTAATTCTACCCCATTATCGTCGTCTAAATCAATAAGTATATGAATAATACTGCCAGTACTCATAGCATCACTACGACAAGTAATACCACACCTACTACTGGTGCCACTGCTACTACTACTACTACTAATACCAATTCAGTAGTATGCAAAAGTCCGTCTAGAAATTATTCAATTACTCCACCGAATCCAGTTCAAAAACGATTGCATTTGTTACAGTTTATTAGTAAAATTTTACAATATTCTTCATCTGAATCACCTCTATTCACTCCTGGCGCTTCTTCTTCTTCCACGTCTTCATCATTACCACCAACTTCGATGTCGTCTAGCCATCATCATCATCATCGTTCGTCGGCATTCACTTCACCAGTTGTTGTCTGTTCCTCCTCCTCTGCGTCTGTCTCCGTTTCATCATCTGCCTCATCATCATCATCCTCACCATCTATTTCGACGCCTTTCTATCCCGTCAATAATCAACAAGATGAATTGATTCCACAGTTATTTACAATGAATTCACAAGCTCTTAATTGTGTTCAATGGATTGATAAACAGGCGCGGATATTTCAAATAAGAAATCCACAGAAATTATCACAACTTTGGGGATATTATCGTAAAAATGAAAATATGACTTTTGAATCAGTTAGTCGTAGTTTAAGGTAAGCCGTCTTTTTCTCTACTTTGTTTATAAAATTTTGAAGCATTTCTTTGTTCGAAATGGGTTATTATTATTATTATTACTGTCATTAACAACTATTCCTTGTACTGTTGTAACGACAGAAGACAAGGGTCAGGCAACACATCGTTTATTGAGAAAGTCAACAGCTGTTTATGGATTTTTATGTACATTATTATTCGTTATTATTAGCAGAGAAACAGAGTCTTTTGATTGGTTGTTTTCTCGCATCTCTTTGTGGCCAATACTTTGAAGGTCAGACCGTATGTCTGCGAATCGTATCCGCCCACGTAAAGTCTGCTGTGATTGGTTGTTGAGTTAGTCTTTGTTCTTCTTGTTGTTTTCTCATGACTCTGATTTGGTACGCAAACATTGACGTAAATTGCTGTCTACCAATTTTGGCTAGCGGACGGCTCTCACCACACTATGAGTGAAACATATGCATTCGGATTTTTATCGGTTCGACGTATGTACGTCGTCTCACTTCCCTGCAGTCTAACACCTCATGTTCCCTTTCCACTGTAATTAGGAAGATAATACTAGACTGTCTTGTCTTACCCTCATCTTTACTTCGAAGACTTCAGTGTGAGTCTTCCGTTGTGTAGTTATTCCCGAATTACTTCACGGTCGACACTGTCGAAAGTCCTTCTGCAGTCAATGAAGTTCAGGTAGATACTTGACTACAATTCTAAGCTCTGTTTTACGATGATGTGTTGTGTTGCAATTTGATAAGCGAATGACTTTATATTCCTGAATACAGCTTGTTCCTGGCAGAGTTTTGCATCCAGAATACCTTTAAGTCTCTCTAGTATGATGTGACTTAATATTTTGCTTGAGGTGCACAGATACATATTTTCAATATCCACTGGGGTCTCTGGAGATGCGTTTTCAATGGTTTTGTTGGAATTCCATGTCCTACTGGTTTCTAGGTCTTCAATAACTTTATAGTATTTAAGACTTCCTGTTTTTTTGTTGAAGTATTGGTGTTTACTGTGTTCGACTGGTGTTTATGGTATTTCTGGGCAACTTGTAAATAATGATCGGTTCAAGGAGTTCTTTGAAGTGATCACCATCTCTTTGGTAATTAGATTTCTTTGACTATCTTTCATTAGCTTTATTTGTATTGATCTCTTCCCCGTTAGTGACTTAGTTATCTGATGTATTGTTCTGAGGTCTTCTGCACTATTACTATTCGTTATTGTTAGCTGGGAAGCTGATATGTATCCACATATATATATATATATATATGTGTGTGTATGGTGATCTCTCTTTCTGTTGCTCGCTTAGTCTGTGACCATTTCACTTTGATGAACCTGTCTCCTTTAACAATGTATATTCCCCTTATATTATATATAATATGAGTGTTTGTTGACAGTCCGTTGCTTGGTGACATATATCCATATATGGTTGTTGTTGACATGTCTGCTTTATTTCGCTATGTATATATGGATCGACTGTCTGTCTGTCTGTTTTCAACATAGAACTTTGCACAAATGTACGGAAGTTCAAGTCGCCACATTCCGTGTAGCACGCGAAGCAAGAGAAGAAATTACAAGAAAAGCATAATAGAAACTGTGAGCAGAGGTGTGAGACAAAGGAGTAATAAAGAAAAACAAAACAGTTTCATTGAAGATCATAAGTCACAGGGAGTGGATGCATCTGCGCCACTGAGAACGGTTTTGAGCCATGTCACCAATTGTTTCCAACCATAGATTTTTACCGTCCCGAGGACCCCAGCCTGGAAGTCTACACCTTTCTACATGGCTTAGACCAACTGTTGTGGATTTTATTGACTGATGCCAAGTTTTGTTTGACCTCCACTAGCTCTTTTCCAGCCTGACCCTATATCCGCTAACATTGCTCGTCGAGGGAGGCGATGGCTTGGCATACGTAACACATGTCCTAACCATCTCAATCTTTGTAGCTTCACGACTTCGTCGATTGATTTCCCCTGTTTACCTAGAACTCTACGCCTAACCTCCATGTTGCTTACCTTATATGCCACTTTACACGGATCGACACTTCATTATAATTAGCCATTCATGTTAAGACTGTCTATTGATTTGTTCACACCCTTGTCTGGACATTCATATCTTCGCTCTCACAATTTGTGTGACTTACTTTCTCTGGTGTGATACCACTTATTGCTTCTCCTTGGTTTTGGAAAATAGAAGTATCATCGCAAACCTAGTGGTCTCCTGATTCCGCCTTCTTGCGTCAGGACTATTAAATTCTCGACCAGTACATAACAATAATTTCGCGACGAGTATATAACAGAAGCAACGTCTTCTGATTGATTGTTCTCTTGCTGGAGGTTATTCTGTCATATCTTTGTGGTCGTTTCATAAAAAAATAAGCCATATATTTGCGAATTGTATTTGCACACACTAAGTCTGCTGTGATTGGTTGTTGAGTTCCTCAAGGTTAGGCTTTGTTAGTGTTTTTTCTCATGACCCCGATTTGGGACGTAGATAACTTTAATTGCCTTGGCAATATTGACTTTTATGTTACGTATCTACAAGGTGAGCTATAACAGAACTGCTAATAAACCTTGTTTGTTGCTTGCTGAAACGAATTTCATCCCAGAGGTTTCTGTTCAGGTCTCTGTTCGCTAGCCCTGGGACGATATAGGAAAGGCAGAAAGGTGGTCAGTCCATGACGTGGCATCGTGGGATGAATGATTTTTGTGCTAGATTAGCATCGGTTGGTGTGTCAAGACTCCCTGGTCGGAAACTGAGGCAGATAGCTCGAACCGATGTCTCGAAACGTTATCGAATATGGCCAAGAATTGTAATCAATGGCGAACGTGCTGCAATTTCCTTCTTTCTTCCCTTCCCGACGATAGTTGACGAATACTGTTTGAACTTGTTAAATGTGACTGTTTCCCTTCTAGATGAAGTCCTTTAACCGTTCTCCACGCATATTTTTTACTTCTTATCTATGTTGTTTTATTATTATTATTATTGTGTAGCGCATCGTTCTGGTGCAATATTGTACCAAGTTTTTTTGTGCTTACATAATAAATAATAATAGTTTAATTGAATTTTACATTTTCCCGTCAATTGAACGGACCGAAGTGCTCGGTCTCAGGTTGACATGTTGGCTTCTTATGCAAATGCCTCGACGATGTCTAGGCATTTAAATATGGGCACTGGCTTCGAGAGCTGGTGGCAACATCATCACTCACTGAGGAATGCAGGTATATCCAGTTAGCTGACGAGTCCCAAATAGGACGAAATGCGTTTTATCCTGGTGGATTCCACTGTCTGTCTGGATTCAACATAGAACTTGGCACCGAAGTGCACCAGTTCCAGTTGCCACGTTCCAAATACCACACAAAGGTAGACAAGAAGATGAGTGAAGAGAATCAATAGAGTTTGACAAGTATAAGAGTGAAACAGAATGGGTAATGGTAGAAAGAAATATGAAAGATTACAGAGACTGAATACATCTGCGCTGGCCATTGACAACGATTTTGAGCCATGTCACCTATTGTCTCCAGCCATTGATTCCTAGAGTCCTGAGGCGAGGGCCCCAACCCGGAAGTCTGCATCTCCCTACCTGACTGACTCAGTTTAACTGTCAAGGATTTCATGGATTGATGAGGCCATGTTTTTGTTTGGCCACCACTTACTCTTTTCCAGCCTGCACCTATATCAGCTAGTAATGCCCGTCGGGGGTGGGGAGGCGATGGTTAGGCATGCGCAGCACGTGACCTAGCCATCTCAATCTATGTAACTTTATAGCCTCGTCGATTGATTTTCCCTCTTTGCCCAACACTCTACGCCTAACGTCAACATTACTTACCTTATTAAACCACCTAACGTGAGAAAGAGATCGCAGACATCTATGATCGAAAGCAGTCAACCTTTTCATGTCTTCAACTCGTATTGGCCATGTTTCAGAGCCATAGAGAAGGACGGAGCGAACTGCTGAGCAGTACACACGTCCCTTGGTTGATAGCCGGATATCACGCCTACGCCAGAGATGGTGTAAGTCAGCGAAAGCAGCTCGAGCTTTTCGGATCCGTGCTGAGATTTCATCGCCAACCAGTCCGTTGGTGCTGATACAACTTCCCAAATAGGTGAGGTGGTCAAGATGTTCTATCACTTCACTCCCTATCACTAAGTTAGGGGTTGACGTGTTCCAGTCCTGTAGCAGCATCTTACATTTAGCAGGGGCGAATCGCACGCCAAACATATGAAGATTGCTGCTCAAGGTGTTCAGAAGACTCTGCTGGATTTTGTCAGCATCCTCCCCTAACAGGACTATGTCATCTGCATATTCTAAGTCCATAAGACTATTCCCTGGTAACAAGTCGATTCCTAAGTCGTTAACTTCAGTTAAGGATACTTCCATTAGCATATCTATGATGAAGTTGAACAGAAATGGGGAAAGTGGACATCCCTGTCGGACACAACTGGTTGTTACCAATTCAGATGACAATTCCCCATAAGCCCTTACACGACTACGTGAGTTTGAATAGAGTGTCTTGATTAGTGCAATGTACTTTCTTGGCACTCCCTTCACAGTCGAACATTGCCATAGTACTTTTCGATCCACGGAGTCGAAGGCCGCCTTCAAGTCAAGAAATATGACAATTGTTGGACGCCGAAAAGTGTGTCTATGTTCTAAAATCTATCGGAGAGTGTCGGTGGATTCCACTACTAGTCACCATCCACCAACTATATAATAATAATTACTTTCTGAATCAATATGCAGATTAATGATGGTGTTTAGAAATCCGGAGTAAAAAAAATGATTCTTTGTTCAATGTACAAATCAAATTTCGAATTTAAAGTTTACACAATTCAAGGAGAAGGTGAAATTTCGCCACGAGTTCCTTTGGAAACCAAAATTAGACAAATCATACAAAAAATATGTGATCTACTTGATACCATGAATAATAATCGCAGCAATCAAGTGTGCATGCTTAAAACTGTATCCTACTGATTGATTGAGAGAAAAGAAGTCGCAGAGGAATTTTACCTTTTTGAACTGTAAGGACGGGGAGTAAGACAAGGCGGCTGCCTACTATCGCCAATGATTTTCTTGATTGCAGTAGATTGGATAATGCGATAGACAGACAGACAGACAGCCGGCTGGGCAACAATGAGACAGGCATAAAATGGACTCACACAAAAAGAGACTTGGAGGATCCAGACTTCGCCGATGATGATATATCTCTCATTTCCCATAAACTAGAAGATATGCAAGTGAAAAACAACAAGTTGGCAGAAGAAGCATCAAAGATGGGACTTCACTTCAGGTGAACATAGTGAAGACAGAGCTGATGAAGATTCCTGGTCAACAGCAACAACAACAAACAACAATCAGCATAGATGGGAGGAACCTGAAAGAAACAACCTCCTTCACCTACCCACCCAGGAAATATCGTTTCAACTACAGGAGGACGGAACTGAGGAGAATATCAAAGCCAGAATCGGAAAAGCAAGACAAGCTTTCATTACTCTCACCAAGTCGGTGTGGAGGAGATCAACAGCACTCAGAATCAAAAATAAGATCCGGATCTTCAACTCCAATGTGAAGTCAATGCTACTATACGGATCAGAGACTTGACGCGTCATAAAGAGCATATCAAACAAACTACAGACCTTCATTAACAGCTGTCTCCGCTCAATACTCAAGATCAGATGACCGGTCAGAAAAGATCAGCAACAAGGATCTGAGGCAATAGGCGAACCAACCAAGCAGGAACCGATTGTGAAACAAATAGGCAGGAATAAATGGAGATGGACTGGATTGGCCATACTCTGAGGAAACCATCAAGTGACATCACCACACAAGCCCTCGAGTGGAGCCCGAAAGGGAAATGACAAGTTGGTCGTCCAAAGGTGACTTGGAGGAGGTCATGTGAAGAGGAGATGAAAGCATGTTGGCAGACTTGGAGCCAGGTGAAAACTCTAGCAGAGAAGCGAACGCAAAGTAGACATGCATGGCTGAAGCCCTATGTTCCTCTAGGAATTAAAAGAAATAATAATAACTGTTTAGATTGTAAATTATTATCATTTCACCCAGGCGTACGAAGTGAATACAGCAGTAAGATAAGCCTGGCTACCTGCTTGCTATCACCAATGATCTTCGTTATTGTGATGGACTGGATTATGCCTCAGACAGGGAATACGCTTGACTAACCAATAAGAAGACTCTGCAATTTGTATGGATTTCGTGCATGGATGATTTTTGTTTAATGTCACGCAAACACGAAGACTTACAGGCAGGCAGGCGAGAACCAACAAACTGGCGCTGAAGATGGAGGCAGCGAAGACAAGACTCCAGGTGAACATAGAAAAGACGGAAGTTATGAAGACGACAACCAACCATTAAAAAGCAGCAGCAGCAGCAACAACAACAACAACAACCAGTACCAATCACTATCAGTGAGAGAGATCTGAAAGAGGTTACTTCCTTTTTCTTATTTGGTTAGGCAGAATCATTTGAACCATACGCACACAGTTGTAGATGTCCAAAGCAGATGAGAATTTGAAAGTCAATAAAAGCCTTCACATCAACGAATCTGAAACCAGTTTGGAAATTCGTCTACTTCACTCAGCCAACACAAAGAACAAGATTGAGATTTTCAACAACAACAACAAAAAAAAAATGTAAAATCGGTCAGTTCTTCTATATTCGGGTGAGAAACTTGCACTGAGTGTAAGTCAAAAAAAAACGATTTCCAACGGCCAGATGTGTAGACTTCTGTCAACAGCTGCCCGCTTTACTGACTCCATATACTGAAGATCAAATGGCCAGCCAATCAGACGGCTGGACAGAAAGAATTAGCGCAACAAGAAACTCTGGCTGGGGGGAGCCAACCAACTGGTTGGTGAGAGCCGATCACTTAACAAATATGTAGGGGAAAATGGGGGTGGATTGATCGAGCATATACGTTGAGGAGGAGGCCGTCGAATCTGAATGGGAAGCGATGAGTGGGTGGTCGCCGGTGTTAGGGTGACATGGAAGAGGTCATGTGTCGGGGAGGAGGACGAGATGAGAGATTATGGTCAATTATGGGGTCAGCCAATTGAAGAGGAGTGTAGAGAACAAAAGGAAGTGGAAATGTGTTGTCGAAGCCCTATGTTCTACCTGGAACCCAAGGGAATAATAATACTAATAATGAGAGTTCACCCAATCAGCCAATCAGAAAATGGTTGAGTTTGAAATGACTGTCTACTCTCTGAGCTAAGTTAAACCGGTTACATTGTCGATTAGCTCAGCGCTGAACAAGCCATCTAGTGTATAAATCACTTCGATCTGATTGACTGGCAGACCACTACTGGTCAAATGTGAGTAGTATACAACCACTACTCATCTAAATCAATCAGTAGTATTATATATAGGTTTATGCATATTTTAACCAATTTCCCCTTTTCCTGTGTATTATTCATAGTGATACTAACCCGTTCGTGTTTAATTCTCGTTATTATTATTATTATTTATTGCTATTGTTATTGTAGACTTTATTATGTATCCGGGAAACTTGAACGTATTCGAGGTCAACGCAATCAATATCGATTTTTAGACGTGAATATTTGATGAAGATGATACTGATGAAGACGAAGAAGGAGAAGGAGCAGAGATAACCGGAAAAAAAGAAAAAAAGATTTTCCTGTTTTTATTTTATTATTATTATTATTATATTTGTTTCAAATCCACTGCTATTTGTCTTCAGCCAATCAGATTCTTCCTTCATTCATGCGTTCATTCATTCATTCATTGAAAATTGATCTGTTTACACTTAAACTGGTGTGTCAATAGAATAGGTCATCCTCTTCGTTGCCCTACCCCGTCTCTTGTGTGTGTGTGTTATTTGTGCCTGTATGTGTATCTGTGTGTGTGTGTGTAGTTCCTGAAGAGGTCTTATCAAAAAGAAATTCGATTATATGTATTATAACTCAATATTATTATTACTATTACTATTATATTGTTTTATTCAAGTCAGATTATTGTTTATTAGCTGAAATATAAATCGATGCAGAAATCAATTTTCTATGTATCTGCTATAATCCACATGCCTATACACCCACACACACTCCCACGCCCACACACACACACACACATAAATACCCATATAGACACGTAATTTATTCGTCCAATTATATTTGAATATTTCTGGACTTATTCATCCTTATGACCATCAAAAGAAGAAGAAGGGGGAACAACTAACTTGTTGTTTTTTTCAGACGATAATAACCACAAGGGTAGGGCGTTCACAAGAGTGGTTGCACGTATACCTCGGCTGGTTAATGTTCCCTCCCCCCCCTTCATATACAACGTTTGTTTCTTCTTCGAAGTCATTGACTGACTGTTTGTTTTTTGTTTTCCTGTTTCGTTTTTATGATAGTATTGAATTCCCTTGCCTTAAATGATGGTGGTGACCGCTACCTCTCTTCTTCTTCTCTCGCCTACGCACGAAAATTAAAATACGCGGCAATTTTAAGCGGTCGTTTTAAATAGTGTTGTTTATTTTAGATAAACAAAAAGGATGGGTAAAAAAACTAGTTAGTGTAAATTATTATTATTGTTATTGTTATTTTTTTATTCAAATTTGATTGAGTCACTCGTTTATTTATTTATTTATTTATTTTTTAAGGAATAAATTATCTCACATAGATTATTATTATTATTAATATTAATATTATTATTATTTCCAACTAAGTAACTAACTAACTAGAGTGCTTGTTTGTCCTATTTTATGTGTACTCACTTGTTTGCAAATTATTTATTTGACTTGTTTTTTTTACTAATAGCCAGGGGGGATTAAAACAAAAATAACAGATAAGTAGTGTATCCGTTTTTTTTGTGGTTATTGTTTTTGTTGTTCTTGTTTATTCCTTCAAAAAGCATTTTGTTTATTTATTTATTTGCTTCTCTATTTATTTATTGATTGATTGATTTGTTTGTTTTTGCGTTTACCTAAGGCAGGGTGTGTATTTTCCGATCTGTCGAATTATTTTCCCTCCCGCAACACACACACACACTTTCTATCTCCCTACCTCTTTCCCTCTCTCTCTCTCTCCCTCCGATTGTAGTCAGTGGGATCACATTTTATGCCTATGATGTTGATGACGACGATGAGTAGGGTGAGACTTTCCATGACCACCTGATTACATTACAATGAACACTCCAACTGGACCGTATGTAATAACGTGTGTTTGTGTGTGTGTTCGAGAGAGAGAACTAGAACGAGTGGGTGGATGTGATTAACAGGGACAGATGAACTGTACATGCTGATACGAGCTAATCAGTTCCCCGCCCCCCACCCCGCCGAACACACCCACCCACTGCTAAACCTCGTAGAATATTCCATTTCTTTAAGGTATCCCCCTAGTAATGAACAGATCAGATGTGTTTCCTCTATTTATTACTATTTGTCTGTCTTTCACAATTCCTTCAAACTTGCCTTATTATTATTATTATTATTATTATTATTACAATAATAGCAACAACTGTGTGCTTTCCAGAGTTTTTCTGTATGTTTACAACATGTTGTGTTGTTGTTGTGTCGTTGTGGTTTATTGTAATATTTTTACTTTGAGAGGTATTTCCTTCATTTTGTCTTTCTTTAGTTTCAAGGCTAATCTTCTTGTAACGTTATTTATTTACCCTATTTGTATTTATGTATGTTTATTATGTAGTAAAGCTTATTTTTCTATTTATACATGAAGGAGAAGAATAAAAAAGATAGTAAAAATAATAAATTTTCTTCGAAAAAAAAACACTAGAGTACTTTAGTGTTAAGTAGTAAATGAGTTTATGCGAAAAAAGGCGGGATGGAGTGAGGAGTATGTGGACAAGGTCAAGGTAAACTTTAAGCACCACTAACTAACTAACTACCAATCAGCGGATGACCTTGAATGCACCAATCACGTGAAGGAGGCATTTTTGTGTATGGAATACGTATATATTTATCCAACAAAAATGCATTTTAAAACTGAAGAAAAGTGTTACAGAGGATACCTTTCTCTCACATGTGATGAAAATAGCCCTGAATTTTAAGTATCGAGTGTCGACAGAGTATAATTCCATTGTAGGTAAAATTTAATTTGATAAAGTCTCATAATGTTATGCAGTAACTTTTACTGGGCGATAAACTTGTGATCGAAACGTGGTCATCAGTAAATATTACTTACTGTATAACACTGTGAGACTTTATCAAAATAAATTTTATCCACGAAGGAATTATACTCTACCACAACTAAGTGTACAAGTTCTATTCTTATATCAATAGAGTAATTTAACCACATTCTATGCATGTAATTATTTAGGACTTCTAACCCTAACAATAACCCTCATCTTTCCTGAGCCCAGCCCGAACTTGAAAAGATCCCTAAACTAAACCTAATGTTGCGTTTGTTAGGTTAACACCTAACTCGTCATTGGCTTAAAGCGCAACTCAATCTTTCCCAAATCTAAGCTGAAACTTCCCAGATATCCCATATAATAATAACACTACACTTTGATGAGCATGTTTAATTGATGATGACACCATTATTTGCCAGGTTTCATTAACTGATTTGCTCAGTAAGCGTTTCAAGGCCTCTGGTGCGATCACACTCCATTGGTAGTTGTTAATGGTGGTTAAGGTTTAACTTCGCCGTGACTGCACCACTGACCTTGAAATGCTCACTGAGCAAGCTAGTGAAACCTGGCCAATAATGTGTCATCGTCAATAAAATATGCTCATCGAAGTGGTATCCTATTAAATGGGATATCTGCCAATTTTCAGCTTAGGTTTTGAAAAGATTACGCTACGCCTTAACCCAAGGACGAGTTAGGGTTAGGTTAATCTAACAAAGGCGACATTAGGGTTAGTTCAAGTTAGATTACGGATAGTTTAGGCATATTTTCACGTTATATTTAGGTTCAGGAAAGATTTTTTTTATTTTTGATTACAGCTTGATTCCACACCGTATTTTTGGTACAGGTATAGAATTTTCAGCATATGATATCGGTAACCCGAATTTTGCAGGCCGACCATAGATATCAGGTGTGCGTCAGCAGAGGATCGAACTCCGGACCATGTGCATAATCGGCGAGAGTCCTAACCGCTGTGCCACTGACGCACATTAGGGTTAGAAGTCCTAAATAATTACATGCATAGAATGTGGTTAAATTACTCTGTTGATATAAGAACAGAACTTGTACACTGTGGTGGTAAAGTACAGCTCCATAGTAAACTTTATTCTCATAAAGTCTCACAGTGTTATACAGTAAGTAATATTTACTGATGAGCATGTTTTGAGCACAATTTATTGCTCAGTAAATATTACTGTATAACACTATGAGACTTTATCACAATAAATTTTACCTACAATGGAATTATACTCTGTCGGTACTTCAACCTGAAACTTAGAGCTATTTTTATCACATGTGAGAGGAAGGTATCCTCTGTAACACTTTTATACAGTTTTTATGCATCTTTTTCATTAATACATGTATTTTATACACAAAATCGACTCCTTCACGTGATTCGTTCGTTCAAGGTCATTCGCTGATTGGTAGTTAGTTAGTTAGTTAGTGATGCTTAAAGTCTAACTTGGCCGTGAATAACTAGCTGGTGAACTGTCTTCCAGATAAGAGCATTTCTAAGGATTTGGAATCACACTGAAAATAGGCAAACTAGCTAGTTGCGTGTACTGTATAGCTGGCTATTTCATTATCCTAGTTTTCGCACTCGTCAGCAGTGTGCGCCACTCCCACCCTACGCGGTTCAAAGGGAGGAGTTTTCGGCTATATAAAGCGCGTTGTGCTTGAACCTGTAACCAATCAAATCCCTGTTAACCGACATACTTGATAACTCCTCTGATACTTATTAACGACTGACTGGATCAATACTACAGAAAGCTACTGGAGTTCTAGTGTCCTACAGTTTAGGCAAAAGATCGGCTAATAATCGCCTGCAAAATCGGCTAGCAGTTAAAATTTATGGACCATTGGATTGGTTATCAGTGGCCGAATGGTTCTTGAACTCGCCTTGTAACCTGGATAGTTCCGGATTCGAACCTCTATGGTTACAAGTGTTGTTGAAAAGTTGTAGAATAGGCTAACGAAAAAGTTGTTCAGTACTCCCTAGTGGTTTTTTAACGGTTCTCTAACAAATATTAATCGCAGAACAAAAACCTGTAACCATCAAATCCCTACAAACCGACACTTGTTAATTTACAATTGTTAGATTGTTAGGTCATGAACTAACTTCCGTTTGAGAAATCATCTCATGACTTGAATATCAGTGGCCAGCATATTAATGACTACTAGACAGATGTTCTTGAAGCTATGGTGACAACAAGTCATAACCAGTGAGATTTATCATGCCAGGTGATGTTAGCGGTCATCGAAGGCATCCATCTGCGCTATATCACTGTAACGACAGAAGACAAGGGCCAGGCAACAGATCGTTTATTGAGAAAATCAATAGGTATTTATAGGTTTTTATGGACATTATTATTCGATATTGTTAGTGGGAAGCAACGCTGTAACAACAGAAGACAAGGGTCAGGCAACAGATCGTTTTATTATGAAAATCAACACGTATT